CGCGCCCCCCGCGCCCGCCCGCGCCGCCAGCGCCACCGCCTGCCGCGGCAGCAGCATTTGCAACAGGAATGGAGGTATTCATTGCTCGAGGCATGCGGGGAGGGATAGAAATCCCAGGACGGACCAACTGGAAGCAGACAAAACAGTCACAGTTCAGGAGCGTACATAACCTTGACTTGACGAGCTGACACTGACATCACAAGGGTGGGCGAGGCCTCACCTGTCCAGGTCCACCTGGACCAGCAGCTGCTGAACTGAGTTGTACCTGAACTGCATTCTGTTGCTGAACCTGTTGCTGTTGCTGCTGTTGTTGTTGTTGTTGTTGTTGCAGAGCTGCCCGGGCCTGGAAGCACAAATAGCTGATCAGAATCTTTCAGAACACTATCTTTGAAAATCTTCAATTTAAATTTTATGAGAATTTTCAATTTATTGCAAGTCATGTAAATATTCCTGACTCAAACTCCTGAGAACAGTAGAAGACAATCTACTGAGAATAAAAATGCCACAAAAAATGTCTTTGAAGAAACTATTCCCAAATCTCAAAAAACATGGAAAATGATTTGGACCATCTCCAGAGAGTTTGTGCCAGTCCATGAGCTCACCCTGACCTGGAACATCTTCAGCTGTTGCTGTTGACTCAGGGAGTTGAGGGAAGGATGCTGAGTGGATGTCATCTGCCCAGGCAAAGACTGCTGCACCAACGTCTGCTGCTGCTGCGAGTGTGGAGGCATCGGTACCGGCTGAGACTGACCCTGCACCTGAAGCTGCTGCTGCTGCTGCTGAAACATCTGTTGGATTGACTGAGCTTGAGCTTGAGCCTGGGCCTGGGCCTGGGCCTGAGCTTGAGCCTGAGCTTGAGCCTGAGCCTGAGCTTGAGCCTGGGCCTGAGCCTGAGCCTGTTGCTGGAGCTGCAACTGTACCATCTGCTGCTGCTGCATTCTGTTCTGGTGTATCTGCAGAAACATTTGTTGTAGTACTGATTACACAGAAATCAACAGTTGTGTAGCCGCACGACCAAGGGGCTTGTTAGCAGACTGGTGTACCTGGTTCTGCTGGTTTTGGGTCTGCTGCTGGTTCTGGTGCTGTTGCTGGAGCTGTTGATTCTGATGCTGCTGCTGCTGCTGAAGCTGCTGTACCCTCAGTTGCTGCTGCTGCACTACCTGAAACTGCTGCTGCATGGCAGCGTTTTGCTGCTGTGGTGCTGCCTGAGGGAACTGCTGGAACTGGATGGACTGTGGGTGCTGCACCATCTGTTGCAGGGGCATCGGGCCTGGACCTCCCACTAAAGACGGAGTTAGGAGCAGATGAGGGACTGAACCAGGCCGCAGCACAGAACACAAGCAGCTCTGGACCAACAAAGCCCACTATGTGCAAAGCAAAAAAAGAGCAAGCGTCTACGATGCCACTGGGGAAAAGTCGTACGTACCCCAAAACCCAAAGTGCGCAAACACACACACACACTCTCACTCAGAGGAAACACACTCACTGGGTTGTGGGTTTCCCGTCACCCCTGCCATGGCATGCTGGCCTATCTGCATTGGCCCCATGGCCCCCATGCCTCCCACTGGAGCGCCAGTGGGGCGGGGCCCCATGCCTCCAACCCCTGGCAGGTTAGTCAGGGTGTTCATGGGATCTAACAAAGGTAAACAACAGATCATGTTATACAGCTCCATCATGCACAGCAGAAGTATCTAAAAGAGCAGCAGAGTACGCAGCGGGGGCCGGAACACAGCAAAAACTGAACATACACAATGTCACGAAATAAGTTTGGGTTCTTACCTGGACCGCCACCCAGGTTCTTCTTCTCTGCAAAAAAAAAGGTTAGGAGGAAATGAATATTCATATATTATTATTAATATATTGGTATTAATCATATCACTAATGTTAATAATATTGGTGATATTTCAGGAATCCAGCCTTCAGGAGCTCGGTGCTGCTGGACCCCAATCTGCAGAAGCTCAGCCCTTCATCAGCTCCTGTATATGCTAGGTCACCTGTAACTGTTGCTTAAGTTTCTATTCAGGTACTTGCACTTGGTTTCAAGCAAGGTCTCTAATTATATGCACTCGTGACAGCTACATAGACCTGCTGTTTTCTTTGGATACCAATGCTATAGCTAAAGCGGAAATACGTACGAATGTCTCTGAAGTGAATGATGAGTCTGGCCACCAGAGATAAGTACTCCTCCTAGAAACAGAAGAATAGCAGATGTTAGCTTGTTTAAGTTTAAATGTTGTCATAAAAAGGGTTAGTTTAAAGCTTCTGGGTAATTTCTAACACTTCTCATTTTTCTTCATTTTTACCGAAACAGTTCCTGAACTCACCCTGGACTTAGCTTTGCCATAGACGTGGTTTTCCATGTCACTGCTGGACTTGTTGTGAGCCGAACCCGACTTCCTCATGGCATCGTCTCTGGAAGAAGGAGAAATAAGTGATTCACCTTTTGGCGTGTCCATGTAAGTGGAAGTTAATAAGACTCATTTTATTATAAGATTAATTAATTATTATTTCCATTAATTTGTTACGTATTCCGAGGGTTAAGTCAGAGTAGCTAAGCTGCTTTAGCCAAGCTTCGCCCCAAATCAACTTCTCCACTTATGGCGCAGGTCTATGTGACGCTAGTCCAGTTTAAAGAACTTTGGTTCAGTTCCGAGTACGGGTTTGTCTAACACCCACTCTGAAGCTAAAGTGGAAGCGGTTCATTTAGCATATAAATAAACTCAATTCTCACATTTGAGCGACGACCTTCTGTCTAAACTGCGGACCCCTCCAGTCACTGTCTGGACCCGGAACCTCCATTAGAGCGGGTCGAAGTTCTTGGACCTCGTTTTACTAATTTAAACAAGACAATAAAACCGTCGTTAGTTTTTCTTTAGCGGTCTAGCGAGAGTAACAACAAATCTCTTCTGCGCATGTGCAGAAACGGCAATGATTTCCTGTTTCCTGTTTCTAGTGCTGCCTTCATGTATCGAAGCTAAGCTCGGACTTGAAAAACGCAAAGCAAATGTGCGATATACAGTATATATATATATTTTTTTTAATTTAATTTTGTTTAGTTTTTAAAAAGACACAGGCTGACCGTAAAAATATTATTATAAAAGCAATTAAAATCATTCTAACAACCCTCACGCTACTGAAACTGATGTCAGTCATTAAATAAGACTGAATGAGTAAGAGAAGAGAATAGAATAGGTCTTTGTTGTCATTGGAAAACCATGCAGTAAATTCAATTATATTTGCAGCTCAACTAGACACCCAAAAGTAATACATGCCGATAACTAAATAGTGTGGGTCATGTAAGTCGTGTATTACAGTGTGCCTTCATGTGACTCCAGGGGACCGTGGTTACTCCCTAAAAACATGGCTAATGACCCCTCTAATGGACCTCACCACCGATCAAGAGAGGAGGTACAATGACCTCCTTTAGCCCACTTGGGCAGTAGTGAAGAGGGCAATCGGCCTGCTGAAGGGGCGGTAGTGCTGCCTGGACAGGTCGGGGGGGAGGGGATGCTGCTGTACAGACCTGAGAAGGTGTGCCACATTGTGTTGGCCTGTGGCGTCCTCCACAACGTGGCACACCGTCACAGCGTACCACTGTCAGAGGAGAACATCCCTCCACCAGAGGAACCAAATGCCAGACCTACCAACTTAAACCCACAGTGGGAGGCTATACAGGTCTGGCAGCGTGTTATTGCAAGCATGTAAAAAGGCAAGGACACAATTTATGTATTTCTTTTTAATGTTTCACAGATGTCACAAAGGACATCAACCAGTTGATCGAGTCGACGGTTGATGCCCCTGATCTCTGAAAGTTTCTCCCCCTGCAGGTCCAGCACAGCTTGGGTCAGGACACAGCCACACGGACGGACCTCAGCACTTGGTGTGGACACACTGGGGTCTGCGGTGTTGGAGGAGACGCTGGGTCCAGTGGTGACAGAGGAGGAGTCTGTGCTCTCTCCTAAGTCATTGTTTAGCGCAAATGAAAGATAACCTAATTACAAATGACTCACTGTTTTATGTCCTACCATCTTTATGCACGAGCGACACATACTGTGGGCAATACGCATATTTTTGTTCATATTTACCTTGAGAATGACCGAGTTCCCCTTCGTGGGCTCCCACAACTCCGGACAGAGTTGTGTCTCCCAAAATGGCAACCACACTGTCCTCGGAGGGTGTGAGGTCCACCACCGTCCCCCCGCCTGTCTTGGTGACACTTCTGTGCTGGACAGCCACCCTTTGCTTTACGTCCAACTTGATGGCGGACTCTTTTTTTTTTTTTCCGGAGTGTGGGCGCTGCTCCGACCCAAGGGCGTTTACAACGTCACACACACGCTGCAACTTGTTCCTTTTTCTTTTTGTATCTACCCCTGCGGACAGTGTACCAAATAATATGTACCAAATAAAACATGCAGCTCTGGACCAACAAAGTCCACCATGTGCAAAGCAAAAAAAGAGCAAGCATCTATGGTGCCACTGGGGAAAAGTCGTACACACACACACTCTCACTCAGAGGAAACACACTCACTGGGTTGTGGGTTTCCCGTCACCCCTGCCATGGCATGCTGGCCTATCTG